CTAGAATTCACTCATTAGTATTAGAATTAACAACTGAAATCGGAACAAACTCACCTGGTTCTTGGAATTGTATTTGATCAACATGTCGATTGTGTGTACTTAAGTAATTGATATCTAGAAGTCGCATTATAGATTTTCCGACATTCTTCAGAACAATCCCCGTGGATGGTCGAAGATCATTGCCACGATAATATGTAACTTCTGCAGACTCCAAACATCTCATTTTCGACCGAAGAATTCTTCCTTTTAATAGTTTTGATGGAGTCTCTTTCGTCATCGAATGTCTGGCATTTCTATATTGCAGTAGAAAGGTATCTACTCCCCTCTCCAACTCATTAAATGTTGAGGCGGCAATAGAATCAATAGCAGTTTTTAACGTCCTGACAAAATTTTCTGCCTGACCATTGGAACAAGGATGTCTGGGAGCAGCAAACAGATGTTTGCACCCTATACCATTTAACCAGGTGGTGACTGCATCTGCAGCAAAATGAGAGCCGTTATCAGTCACTAACACCATTGGAACCCCTTCTCGACTAAACACCTTTCTTAATGCTTGAATTGTGAAGTCAGAATTTGGTGAAGTTGTAAAAAAACTTCAGGCCACTTTGAAAAAGAATCAATAACTACAAGCGCATAGTATTTGCCAAGAAACGGACCACAATAGTCCGCATGAATTCTCTGCCAGGCCTCAGACGATACTGGCCATGGAGTCCACTTCGAAGGCTGATTTTTCAGCTCATGACACTGTTCACAATTGTTTGCTGTACGACCAATATCTGCATTTATCTCTGGCCACCAACATGTGAGCCTCGCCAATGACTTCATTTTTTCAACACCTAAATGTCCACTATGAAGATCTTCTAGGACAGATTTACGCAATGAAGGAGGAATAACAACACGATCATTTAAACACAAAATACCATCATGAGTAGTAAATAGCTCATCCCGCTTTGAAAAATAGATAGGAAATCTACGTTTCAAATTAGCAATCCAACCTTTCCGTATAGCATTAATTATACATCCAAAGTATTTACGAGTTTCTCTAATGAGATCTGGACGTTTCATTGGTAAAGGTTGCACTAACAAACGGTCTGAAGTATTTACAGGTTTATCTTGTAATGACTGTCGAGAAATGTAGTCAACATGTTGAATTTGTTTGGCACTCCTGTGCTGAACCGTATAGTCATAGGCACACAAAGCAATACTCCATCGTTGAACCATAGCAGCTGAGGAACGTGCTAAGGATTTTTCAGGATGATAAATAATTTTTAAAGCCTCATGATCAGTAACAATAGTGAATTTCTTTCCGAATAAATATTTATGAAGTCTTTTAACAGCCCAATACACAGCTAATGCTTCTCGCTGAGTCTGTGAATAACCTTGTCCAGTAACAGTAATTTTGCGTGAAACACAAATAACTGGTCTACCCTCCTGTTCCAAAACTGCGCCAATACCCACAGGTGATGCATCAGTGATAAGCACAGACTGTACACTAGGGAAGTAAGTTCGAAGAACAGCATCACTTTGAAGAAACTTTGGTAGACTACGTAAGCATAACTCTTGTTCCTCACCCCATTTAAATGAATTGGATGTCAAAATATTAAATAAACAATTTGCACGACAAGAAAAATTAAGAATAAAACGGGAATAGTGTTGAAGAGCACCCACTAGTGAACGTAGTTCCGTAAGATTTTTTGGAGACGGTGAATTTGTCAGTGGAGATAGTCGTTTCATATCTGGTCTAAAACCATTACCATCAACTAGGTATCCAAGACATTCAAAACTAGATACACTAACTGAACACTTATTTGGATTCACTGTAATATTCTTCTCAATTAAACGACGCAATAAGGCAATAAGTCTCTGGTCATGAACTACCTTGTCAGAACCATGAACAATGAGATCATCTTGATAAAATTCAACACCAACAAGATCACTAACCACCTTATTCATAACTTCCTGAAATATGACTGGAGAACAACTTAGACCAAATGGAAGGAAATTGTATTTGAACAGACCAAAAGGAGTGTTAATTGTCGTCAAAATAGATGAGGATTGATGTAAAGGGATTTGAAGATAAGCATCTTTTAGGTCGACTTTCGAGAACACTTTAGAACCATGAAGTCGATTTAGAATATCTTCAGCCTCTACCGTCGTGCATGTTTGCTTCAACTAATGGGAGTTCAATGTTAATCTATAGCCACCACATATTCTAGGAGTCTTGCCGTCCGATTTCAGTGGCGTAACAATAGGAGTACCCCATGCTGAAGACTGAACCGGTTCAATTATGCCTTTTGCACACAAATCGTTTAATGTTTTATGTACCGCATCTCGAAGACCATAAGGAATTATTCGTCTTTTAAGAAAGACTGGATCATCCTGTACTTGAAGTTGTATATGCTGAATTTTCATGCCTCCACTGCACTTAGCACACGTGGCTATCAAATCTTTAAGTAAAGCATCATTATTTTCTTTAGGAACTAGGAAAGACAGCTCCACTTTATTCCTTTTCAAATTCCTTAAGCCCAGTATTGACAGTCCTGTTTCGCTAACTAAAAATTCACAAGGTATGTATAAAGAATTATCATCTCTTATTAACAACTCACAACATCCTCGTATAGGCAGTGTGTGTCCAGTAATCCCCAATGTTGATGCTTCAATGGGTCGTACCACAACGTTAGGATCTAAAGATTTCAAGTTCTTGAATGAAATAATGGACTCTATGCTGCCTGTGTCCACAATAAAGTCATGACATGAACCATGAGATGTATATAATCGCTTTTGAATATGAGTATTACCTTTCCAAATGGTAGACAAAGATAAATGATCATTAGGAACCGCTGAATTATTGGGATCTAAATTACAAAATTTATTACTACTTGAGGCAAAATGAATAGTAGCTTTGCATACTGTTTGAATGTGTCCTATCTTACCACATCTAAAACATTTAGCATTACGAAATGCACATGAATTACGAGAATGAAGTTTTCCACATGATAAACATTTGCCAAACTTGGTCTCACCTTTGTGATTTCCTTTGTAATCCCTTGTTGAAACACCTTTCATATTTACACGAGATTAGGAGCCACTGTTAAACGAACGCAATTTTGATTGACCCTGAGATTGTATTCCATCATGACGACTAAGCAAAGTATTAGAAATATTCATCGACTGGATATCAAGTTCATTCACTGCCTCGTAGTTAATACACACAGTTCTAGCATCTTGAAAGGAACA